TCCGTGTCACAATTATTTAATAATTTATGGACCATACTCTCAACTTCAATCATTTCCATGCCAACTATTAAAAGAAAAAATGTTAAAATTTTCTCAAAATCAACTTTCATTTAAAAAATAAAACAACATATTGAGAAACATGATGATTAATATTACATTGAGCAACAGCAAGAAGATCTTCATCGATTGACTTTCCAATCAACTGTGAAACTTCCCTTTTGCATGTATAAAATATAAAGAAATTCAAAACAGATTTTTTCAATATACCAAAAAAAAGTCTTATAAAAAATTAAAATAAAATAGTTACTGGTTAATTAATAAAATTAAATAATTAAATTAGTTAATAAAATATCTTATAAATAGTTAAAAACTAAAGTTTCTTTGTACTTGCCAAAATTTTCATACGGATTTTAGGGGATGGTTATTTCATATAAAATAGCCATCCCCTAAAAATGGCTATTGCATCAATTGAGGGTTTGGGCAGGGACTATCTAGATATAAAAGATTTTTAAAAGAAACAGAAAAAATCATTTTTTAATATTTTTGGTTTTAAACTTTAATGATAACAAACTATAAACTAATAAAAGAAAAAAGTAATAAGAATCTCATTGAATCCAATTATTGCATATTTTTCTATTATCCAATAATAAATGTATAATTAAGTGTTTGTTTATTATTACAGATTTGTTGAACAAGATGAAGACTACCTTCACAAATTTGCAATGCAAGAAGTGTATTTTAATTATGAAACGTATTTTATTTATGATACATTCAGCTGATACACTGTAAACTGCTTTTAACAATTGATTGCCGCATTTTCTTACATTTTTTCAAAGCTATCACTTTGCAAAAAATTTTAATTAGGTGCAATGTGAAAGCTTGAGAGCTTATGCATCGGATAAGCTGGTTTACAATTTTAATCAAATTTTTGGATTTTTAAAAGTGATTATGTCTCGTTAATTGTCTTCTCTACCCTTAACCTGATGTTACCTGATGAACAGGAAATTTACATAACATTTTTCAAAATATTGTTTAGATGTGTTTAATGTCTAAAAAACATATCATCATGGGCAATTTTCTACCCAAATGCTTTTTTTAAATTACTTAGAATTTGACAATTTTTTATTTTATATTATATATTTTGAATCAAAACTCTTAAAACTATATACATTTACAAAAATTAATACGTGAACTAAAGCATAAAAAAACTAAAAGATCATTGTTTTCGAAAATCAGCTTATTGCCTGGATTTTTTTTCTAAACTAAAGTTTTTATAATTTAAAAAGTTAAAATGGATTTTTATCAAATTTTTTCAGTTTTTTCTGTTTTGTAATAAAATAAATTTCCAAATTTATAAATAAATTTATAGTAAAAATACCTATGAAATAACACTTACATAACGAATTCATTAGAAACTTTCTTTTGAGGGATTTGATCCCTAACTGATAATCTGGCTTTAAAAAAAAAGAAGAGAATAATGTATACAAATTGTATGAAATTAAATAAAATATAGAATGTAAAATATTCAATGAACTTTATTGCTGAGTCATTAAATTTTGATTATTAAACTAACTTTGTTAAAAAAGTGTTAGATATAAAAAAGTGTTTAATATAAAAAAAAGTGTTCAATATAAAAAAGTGTTAGATATCAAAGCACCAAAATTTTGTGAAGATAAATAGAGAAAATACTAGGTATTAAGAGACATTGCTAACTGTTGATGATAATAAAAAATTATTTGTTTAAAAAAATACCATGCAGTGTCAGCTTTGATGACCTTAAAGTTGTTTATAAAAAACTTGTTTTTATGGCAACATTTTAATACCAGCTCATTTCTTTGTTTAATAATTTTATTTTTGATGTTATTTTGTGGTACTTTTTAGTTAGGCAAAGGTTGCATGATTTTCCATCAGGTTTAAATAGTTGCGCTTTGTCAATGATTTTCCATGTTATAATAGGATTTGTATATTCCTTTTTTTTAATTACCCACATAAACTTGGAAAGCTCTGTTGAATTTGCTTTGCTTCATATTAGAATGAGTTTTTGTGTTTGTATCAATGGTCTTTAAAAGTATTCTCTGTTAGTCCAATATAATTGAATCTGCTATCTTGTGGTAAATTTTTATATTATTGTAGTATTTTTTTTTTTTTTTTGGAGGTATTTCCTGTCCAAAGGGCATTGCAAAGTTTGTCAGCAGTTGCATTGTTGGATCGTTGAGGTGTTAGTACCAAAAAAATGTTTTTATTGTGAGCAATGATAATATTTTCGATGTTAGGAAAACAGCTGTAGCTTACTTTTAAGTTGTTTTTGTTGAAGAGTTTATAAAATTTATAAGATTTTGGAAAGTGATTTTTATCTAAATTTAAAAAAATTCTTGCAACATTTGTTCTTACGTTAAGCGCAAAAGGAGGGATTATGTTACGTTACATTAAGCGCAAAAGGAGCGTAACCATAAAATGTTACGTGATCTTGATTTTGATTTTGTGACAGTATGATTTGGTTTATAAAAGATTGTTTCTTGATAACCATTGGACGCCATGACATTATCATAAAAAGGTGCAGCTTTGTCAGAAGCGTCTTTGTTGGATGAAATAATGAAATATTGCTAATTTGTTTGGATAAAATCATTGGTATGGATTTGATAATATTAGGAGAGTGGTTAGAATTAATGCTTATAAAAAGTGAGTGGCCACCTGGTTTTCTCTATGGTCGAAAGGAACAATCAGATAAATTAAACGTAACAATTTACAATCGTTAAGTTTGATTTTATTGTTAAATCTAGATTGAATTTATCCTTAAAAATTTTGACAAGATTTTTCTTTATTTTTTCTGATTCTGGTCTACTGACCTTATGAAAACAGAACACACCATCATCTCTATACAACCCGTTAGATTGCAATCCATATATATTGCTTATAATATGCAGGATATAAAGACCAACAAGCTTGCACAGCTGGGCCCTTATCAAAATTTGTCAAAATTTGTCCTTATCAAAAAAATAGTGACGTCAAGGTTTAGATCACCAAGTCTCTTAACCCACATGTTGTCGTGATCAGTAAAAAGCAAAGATTTTCTAGAGTGATTTATAATACCAAGTACTTTGTCTGATATTTCTGTATATTGCTTAGCGTGATGTAAAGATTCTTGAATCAGTAGTTTTTGTGAGATTGATGGATAAAACTTGTTAATATCAAACTGGATGGAAATACAATTTTTTTTTGTCTTGAATAATTTGCATAGTATTATTGTTATTAAATTTTTTTGTCGTTAAGATTAATTCTAATATCTGATGATAGCCATAGGTGTGAAACTCGGAGTCATGATTTTTTAACTACTAGATGTTATTATTTAATTTTAAAGAATGTAATTCACACTACTCTGAATTGATCATTCTATACTGGTATTTATCAAAACAATTTATAAATATATATATACAAATACATATATATATATATATATATATATATATATATATATATATATATATATATATATATATATATATATATATATATATATATATATATATATATATACAAATATATATATATATATATATACAAATATATATATATATATATATACATATATATATATATATATATATATATATATATATATATATATATATATACAAATATATATATATATATACATATATATATATATATATATATATATATATATATATATATATATATATATATATATATACAAATACATATATATATATATATATAGATATATATATATATATAAATTTTGAATAATATGGCTGAATGATTGCCGAATGGGATGAAACTAATAGTTCCATAAATAGTTGTATTTTTTTATTTAAATTATATATATATATATATATATATATATATATATATATATATATATATATATATATATATATATATATATATATATATATATATATATATATATATATATATATATATATAAATAGTGCAAAAAATACGAAAATATTTTAAGAAATTACCAAAACAAACTTTCTGGTTTCTTTTGATTTACTGTTTTAGAAAATAAAAATCTAAAAGTTTGCTCTATAATAAGATCCAGGGGTACAAAAAAAAAAAAATTTAATTTGCATACATACAGTGAGAGGGGGGGGGGGCAATGTAGCAAACATTTTTAACCATAAGTTTTTTTATACTTTTTTATATCTGCTTTTAGAATACAGTTTGCTATTTCGCACCATAAGGGAAATTGCTGTTCCCACTCATTTTATATTAATATAAAAAATTTGATGGTTAGATAGGGAACAAAAATGACTTTTTGAATGTAAGTTTATAACATAAATTAATTTTATTATTTTATATCCTATTTTTAAGAAAGAATGTTTTAGCCTAAATTTATTAAATGCCTTTTAACCTAGATTTATTAAATAATTTATTAAATATAAATTTCAAACAATGGTCATTCTACAACCAGTATTTTTACACCTCAATCTTTTTTATGACTAAAGTTAAAAAAAGTTTTAAAGCTATAGATTTATTTACAAAAAAAAAAAAAAAAACATGGACATTTTGAATCTAATATGAGCTAAAAATACATCCCAGTTTTATAAAAAAAATTATTAAGCAATTTTTTTATCATAAAAAATCATTTTTAATAAGTCCAATAAAAGCTTACTTTTTTTTTTTTTTTCTATAAATATTTGTGAATGCAGTTTTCTTATCATACAATATATTTCCTTGTTGTTTTTTTTTGTGTCTGCTTGAGTATTTGATCCAATTTAAGAGCTAATTGCAACTCATATCCAAGTGAACAACAAAGCAAATAACAACAACTTGTTTTTAAATACCACATGTTAGCTAAATGATTTTTTTAAGAAAATGAAGTATTTTAGATAAAATAAAAAAAACTTTGTTATTTAACTAATAATGTTATAATTTAACAAAGATGCTATTGTTTGAAAATGAGCTTTAATAAACTGTAAAACGTAAAATATTTAAAAATAATTTTTTAATATTTAGCTTTTTCCACAGCAAGGTTTGACTTTATATACAATTTACACACATCATAATGAAAGGCAAATTGAAACTGTGTGATTTGGGTTTATACCTCTTTTAGCCAGTCATAACTTGTGGTTTTTTTCAAAAGCCAGACAAATAACATAGATGATTGACTATAACATAGATGGTAACTATCTTGGCTTTGAATGGTAACTATCTAAATATAACTGGCTGTTAAAATGTAAGTTAAATGAATTCATTAAAATTATGAATGTGAAATTTGATTGAATTAATATTAAAACAACTTGAAAAATCTATACAAACCTAGTATCAAAACACAGTGATTTCAAACAATCAAAAAAATAGTAGATTTACAAAAACCAGGCATAAAGAATGGTAGATAGGGCTTCTCATTTCCCGTAAAAATCTAATTCCCGGGATTCTGTGAAAAAAATGATTAATACCCAGGGATTAGGTAACAAGCAAGAATTTATCAAACTAGTTGAGGGGGGGGGGAATGTGTAAGTTCAAACAAATACAAAAAAAAAGGGGTTTAAATACTATAATTTTAACAACAAAATGAAGACAAAATAATTTTTGGAAACTAAGACTCTCAAAATAAAACAAATATAAATTTCAATAACATTATATTTTATACATATTAATTTTTAAAATAATTTTTTAAAAAACATAAATTGTCAATAGCACTATCACTTAACGATGACTGAATTTTCGTAATAAAAAGAACTGCCGCAGAAAAAGCTCTTTCTGAATCAGTTGAAGTCGGTGGGATAGTTAATAGAGCATTATATAATTTGTCTAAATTATTTGTACGCTTTTTTGTTTCATCAAAAATATCTGTTTCTTTTGTAATATTTTTAACGTCATATAACACATCTTCTAGGCTCTCAATTCAATTTTTGATGAAGTGTTGATTCAGATGTTGTCTTCTGAATCAGTTGAAGTCGGTGGGATAGTTAATAGAGCATTATATAATTTGTCTAAATTATTTGTACGCTTTTTTGTTTCATCAAAAATATCTGTTTCTTTTGTAATATTTTTAACGTCATATAACACATCTTCTAGGCTCTCAATTCAATTTTTGATGAAGTGTTGATTCAGATGTTGTCTTCAAATTTGGTTCGGCCATAATTGACGTTTCAGTCCCGTCATTACTGCGTTATAATTCTTCAATTTCAGCGTAATTTCCACCACCATCAATATCCTCAACAAAAAGCTTAGAAAAGAACTTTGTAGCCGTAGCTTGAAGGACTGATTTGGAAGGCAACAATATTACAGAATCTATGTTCGATTCTTGTTTATAATTTGATGGATTATTTAAATATTTTAGCAAGCCAACTAAATTTTTATTCCGTCTTTCAACAATACTCTGTTACACGCACTGCAGCATTTTAACCAAAAAACAATCTTAATTTTTGCGCAAAACATCAAATATAAACACTAACACACCCTCTCCATCAAGTAGGAATGC